ATTCCCTGCACTCTGCCCAAAGGTTGCCCATAAGTCTCAGCATCTGCTTTGATAGTCTCCAGGGCATAGCCCTTCAGAGGTCCTCTGTGTCAGGCTCCTGACTTGTTCCCTCTTTTCTCCTTCTGATGTCCATCCTCTTTGCCTTTTTGGACAGGAATTGAGCATTTTAGCAAGAGTCCTCCTTTTTGATTAGTTTCTTTAGGTGTACAGATTTTAGTAGGTGTATCCTATATTATATGTCTATATGAGTGAGTATATACCGTGTGCATCTTCCTGCTTCTGGGATAGCTCACTCAGGATGATCTTTTCCAGATCCCCCCATTTACCTGCAAATTTCATGATTTCCTTCTTTTTTTTTTTTTTTTTATTGCTGAGTAATATTCCATTGTGTAGATGTAACCACAATTTCTGTATCCATTCCTTCACTGAGGGGCATCTGGGCTGTTTCCAGCTTCTGGCTATTACAAAAAAGGGTGCTACAAACATGGTTGAGTAAATGTCCTTATTGTGTACTTGAGCCTCTTTTGGGTATATGCCTAGGGGTGGTATAGCTGGAGAGGACAGGAACTCCACAAGGAGAGCAACAGAACCAAAAAAACCTGAGCACAGGGGTCTTTCCTGAGACTGATACTCCAACCAAGGACTATGCATGGAGATAACCTAAGATCCCTGCACAGATGTAGTCCATGGCAGTTCAGTATCCAAGTGGGTTCCATTGTAATAGAAACAGGACTGTCTCTGACGTGAACTGATTGGCCTGTTCTTTAATTACCTGAGGGGGAAGCAGCATTACCAGGCCACAGAAGAAGACAATGCAGCCACTCCTGAGGAGACCTAATTGACTAGGATCAGAAGGAAGGAAAAGAAGTCCTCCCCTATCAGTGGACTTGGGGAGGGGCATGCATGCAGAGGGTGGAGGAAGGGAGGGGGTGGGACGGGGGGCGGGGGGAGGAGGGAGGAAACAAGGGGGGGGGGGGGGGGGGATACAAAGTGAATAAAGTGTAATTAATAAAGAATTAAAAAAAAGAAATAAAATACTCTTACAAAAGCAAAAAATAAAAATAAAAAAATTCCAGAGAGCCACCTTTTGGGTTTACAGTTTTTCCTTCTTTCTCCTCCAGTGTATCAGTTGATTTCAGCTCTGTATTATAGTCATCTTGCCGCTTCTTTGAGTTTGCCTTGGTCTTTATCCAGTTTCTTCATTCCTCCATTTTCCTTTTCTCCTCTCTGTCCTTTTTCCCTAGCCCTCTCTTCTCATTTATTGCTTTTCCTTAATTTCTGTCCGTAGCCCATTCTGGTCTTGAACATGAAATCTTCTTCCAGATTACAGATATGTGCTATTTCCTTTCAAATATAGACAACTAATGCTGTAAAATTTTTCCTAAGCTTTGCTTGGACTACATCATGCACATTTTGATTTATTGTATTTTATATTCGTTTAGTTCAAACTGTTTTTAAAATTCTTTTTAGACTGCTTTCCTGGGATCATTTGTTTTTTGAATGGAAAGAGAAATGAGAGAAATGCTATAATCTTGTTATAAGGTTATTCTTAAATCTTACTTGCTTTGTAGACAATTGGTTGGTAGAAGATGATCCTGGTACTTTTAGTACAGTGATACATTGCCTAACACAGGATACCCTGAAATGTGCTGGTAGGCAGTCTCCTTGTATGGCAGCAGGCGCTCACACAGTCCTAGATGGCTATAGGCCAGTTACTTCGCGTAACTTCTTGCTGCAGTCAAAAGAGATGGTAAACCTGAGCTACATCAAAGCACACTGTTTACAGTAATGTTTTTTTGTGTTGGGTTTTTTTTTTTTTTTTTGAGACAGGATCTTACTATGTAGCTCTGGCTGCCCTGAAACATGATATATATACCAGCCTGCCCTCAGACTCACAGCAGTCTGCCTGCTAAGTGCTGACACAGAAGCCTGCGCCACCAACCTCAGAAGTAAATGCTTTTTATAAATAGAGAATACATTAAAATAATGACAAACAATATGCCAGTATATAAAGGAGCATAATTACGTATCGGTGCCAAGCAGCATTCACCGATGTAATCGTGCTCTATACTGTCGTATGCTAGTCCACCGTGTCCTCACACATGCACACAAGGAGTGTTGTGTCTTGCTGCTAGTGGTAGGAAAGCTTCTCCATTTTAATCTGCGGAACCAGCATCATGTCAAAGTATAGAGCGATGACATCAGCACTATGCTATACAGTGCATGACTTCATTTGCTTCTAGGCTGCCTTGTGCTAAGATTTTAAGTAAATTTCCAGGGCCCTTTTGTTTTAGCCATTTATTTTTTTACTGATTTCTTTATCTATCTTGCATACTGTGTTCTGCCTGCTCACCAGAAGAGGGCACCAGATCTCATTATAGATGGTTGTGAGCCACCATGTGGTTGCTGGGACCTCTGTAAGAGCAGCCAGTACTCTCAACCTCTGAGCTATCTCTGTTGCTCGTTTTAGCCATTTTTAAGTGGTAGCACTAGAATTGATTTTGCTAGGACCCGCATCAGGTTGCTCAGGACAGCCTGTAACCCCATTGTCAGAAGACCAACACTCTCTCTTCCTTCCATGTTAACCCCCGTGCCAGTGTGCATGCTCAGATAAGAGTACCATTTAAATGTGATATCCTAAAACTTTTTTTTTGTAGAAGTAAGGGTTTTTATTTTAATTTAGAAGAAATTTTAATTTAAAAAGCATGTATGTTTATGGAATCCCATGTGATGTTGTGATACATATATGTACCATGTAATATTTTATTTTATTCTTTTTGTTTTAGTTTTTTTTTTAGATTTTTTTATTTTGAGTGTTCTATCTGCATATACACCTGCACGCCAGAAGAGGGCAGCAGATTTTAGTACAGCTGGCTGTGAGCCACAATGTGGTTGCTGGAAATTGAACTCAGGACCTCTGGAAAAGCAGCCTGTGCTCTTAACCACTGAGCTGACTCTCCAGGTCCCCATGTAATATTTTAAGTCAGTTAGCAGCTCTTCAAACACTTACCATTTCTTTGCAGTGAAAACATTCAAAGTCCAGCTTTTTGAAAAATATGTTCTGTTGTTGTCTGTAGTAGTTAGGCTGCTGTGAACAAAACAGAACTTGTGGCTCTGACCTAGTGCCTGGGGAAGTGCTGGGTTGCTAAGAGTCAATGTTTGCTGGTTAGGATCCAGGAAGAAGCTTGGGGACTGTACTGTTGCTGAATAGTGTCAGCCACTGAGGTAGCTGTACTTGTGTTTAGAGGAGACTTGCATTCCTGTAGGCTTTCTGAGATATCTGTGTTAGCAGAGCCCATAAAATGGGGTACTTCCCCTTACAAACCCATAGGCTGCTTCTGTTGGCTCTTTAGATAAGGCACGATCTCTTGTCTTTGGCCATTGTAGACTCTTACCCTCAAGTAGACAACCCCCCTCTTCTCCCTCCCTCCCTCCCTCCCTCCCTCCCTCCTCCTCCTCTCCCTCTCTTCTTTCCTCCCTTTCTTCCTTCCTCCCTTTCTCCCTCCTTCCCTCCCTCTCTCCTTCCTGAGAAGTACAGATCTCAGTACGTGGGTTCTGTGCATGTGAGTGTAGAAGCCTGTGGCGGCCAGGAGGCCGTTGAACCCTGTGTCAGCAAGGTTACCGGGTACCTGAGGCGCTGGGAATGCTGGAAAGTGAGCTGAGGCCCTGAAGAGCAGAGCGCCCTAACTGCAGACACATCCCTCCAGCGTCACTTGTCATTGTTTTGATGAATTGAAATTGTTTTCAGCATGTGAATTGGGTATGAATCTTGGTTGCATATTTACCTTGCTAGAGTTCTGTAGTCTGTAGCCTGCAATTTCAGTTTTCCATTAAGAATATCTGATAACAATCCTGGTTTTTTTCTTTGTGTGCTAGCTAAGAAATCTTTTGCCCAGTTTGAACCATTTCTGGTCATCTTATAAAAACCTTATTGTCCTAAGTTTTCTGTTCAAGTCTCTAATATGCCCCTTTATCTCTGTATTTCCTATGTTCTGGGGCTGGATGATTTGATTGTTCTTGATTTTAGCACAAGTAAATACAGAAAATCTATTGGTATGACTTATGCTAAAGTTACATTTATATAGTTTGCTTTGCATGCTTGTACATACATGTAGCGGTCAGAGGACAGCTTGTAGGATAGTTTCCTTCATCCTCATGAGATCTGGAGATAGAACTGAGCTCACCGGACTTGGCGTCTGGGGCCTTCACCTGCTGACTCATCTCCCAGTTCAGGAAACATTTTATTTTTGCCAAGTGGTAGTATAATTTCTAGATGGTAACAGTTTGTGTTAACTAGATCTGGTGAGTCTGTAAAAGGAATTTTAAGTTTTTCCAAATTCCACCTTGACTAAAAGAAAAGGCAGTCGATTCTTATACAATAGTACACTTTTTGAGTCTTCTGGTAGAAGATGTGTGTTTTCCTTTGAGGTAGTGTCTCCAGCCCAGGCTGGCCTTGAGTTTCCCATTGACATCTAGATCCTTCTGTGAACTTCCCAAACAGCAGGACCCCCATACCCAGCTTAGAATGATAGATAAAACACGAGCTGTGGGCTCAGTGCAGCTACCGTGTGTAAGCAGATGTCTTAGTCGTTATTAACGGTGAAGTAATTAACAACAAACACATAAATGTCTGCTTTTCGAAGAGTGAAGTAACGCAAATAATAAGTTCTCTAAATATTATTTAGTACTCTTCTTCCTGAATTTTTGAACCCAATTAAACTTGAGACCTGACTGAGAGGATTTATACTGTAGCTGTTTTTATTAAATGACTTAAATCTGACTTTTGTAAATAGTAAAATCAGTTTGCTAGTTTATCTATATCTTTTTGCTATGGATAAAATATTTTAATAATTTAAACTTTGTCAGTGTTCTTGTAGTTTATTATCTCTTCCATGTATTGTGTAATAGTTTATGTTTAAGATCACGAAACCTTTGTTTTAAGTTAGGCAGAGTATATTTGACTCTGACATTGAATACTTGTTTTTATTTTTATTATTTAGGAACTCTCAGCCATCAACGAGACTTTTAAAAGGCTCTCTAAATACTTGGTAAGTGCTTCCTTTCCATGTATTTTTGCATGTTTCTTAAATTTATGTATATGCTACACAAACTCCCCTGACAGCAATAAGTTAAATTGCAATACGAATTATATTTGTTTTCAATTTTACCTAGGTACAAAAATTTCTTCTCTTAATATCTTTTTAATCCCTCTATACATTGTGTCTGGAAAATCAGGTTAATAAGCAGGAATGGTAATTTATGAATTAAATAAGACTTTGTCTACCTGAGATTTTATAATTATCTATTAATTGCCAGCACTTATGCAGATGATGATGATGGTTGACTGTTGCTTAATGTTTAGAGTCTTGTTTCTTCAGTTTGTCAGCATAAATGCTGTTCCTGTGGGTCAGCGTCTGTGCTGGTTCTAGCGTGGATTACTTTAGTTTCTTTGTTCTGAGATAAAAGTGAAAACTTTTGTAATTGCCTCTAATGAAGAATCTGGTAAGTTACCATTTTACCAGGGCAAGCTATAACCTCCCCTCCTTGTGTATGTATAGTACATGTGTGTGGTGTGTGTATGGGCACACATGTGAGCACAGGTATTTGGGCAATCGTGCTGAAGCCAGAGGAAGAGGTCAGGCGTCTTGCTCTCCCTGAAACAGAAGCTCACCATCTTTAGGCCAGCAAGCCCTAACAGTCTTTTGTGTCCCCTGAACCCAGGGGTGGAGTTACAGGGCCACCTGACCACGCTCAGCTCTTCTGTGAGTGCTGGGAATCAACACTGGAGTTGTCATGCCGACACAGCAAGCCCTCTTAGTCACCAGGCATCTCCTCAGCCCATCGCTCCTTCCTGGGTCCGTTAGGCTTGGTCCTTTCCATCCTTTTCTCCATCAGTCATTCTCATTCTATATTCCGCATGTAGGAGGAAACAGGTGAGAAGTTTCTTTTCCCTGAGTCTGGCATAATCATTGATTCACATGGTGCTCTCATTTCTATCCATTTTCTTCCTGTGTTTTTACTCTTCTTTATAGCTGAGGGGAAGCCTCCGCCACCCCCCCCCCCCCCCCCCGCGTATGTGCTACAGTTTTCTATGTGCTCATTCATTTGTTCTGTGGCTGTTGGGAACAGTCTGCAGTAAACTTTGCTGCATAACACTTTGTTGTGCTGATTTAGATTCTTTTAGGTGTGTGCCTAGGAGTGGGATAGCGGGATCACATGGAGTTCTATTTGTAGGACTGTCTGTACTGATTTCCATAAAGATTACACTGCTTATATTCATACTAGCAGTGTGCAAAGCATTCCTTCTTAATAGTGAAAAAAATTAAAGTGATTAAGTGTTCTACAAAATGGGATAAAATGCCAAGACATCAGTTTGTGCTTGTTTTCAATATAATCATCTCAAAAATATTTATTAGCTGATGGAGAGTCCCTGGATACATGAAGAGATATGGAGTGAAAAAACATGGATTTTGTACTAACCTGTGAACTGTGTGTGAAAGCGGAATGTATTTCCATAGCACTTCCAGCAGATGCTTGCACGAGCAGCAGTGAGGTTCGCAGCATAGTCAGCAGCAAATAATAGAGCAAAAGATGCCCAGATTTCTACTACTTTATCATGTGGTGGCTTGTTTCTTGTGTTTTACACAAAAGGGGGAGGTTGGCCCATCTCCTAAATTTCAGCTAGAACCAGTTGTCAGTGGTGTAGGCTTATGTCATTGTTCATGTGCCAGAAAACCTCAAACACACACTGCCAGTGACTGTTGAGGGTGTCAGTGCACACACTCTCACAGCCGTTCACTGTCAGCATGCTTTCCTCACCCATCTTCCCTCTGTCTCCTGTCTCTCGGCAAGCAGTGCTGGGCTCTCTGCTTGTGAGACTTTGCCTGTTTTGGATATTTCTAAAAATGGCCCCACATGGTATGTGTTCTTCTCTGCCTGGCTTCATTCACTTAGCACAGTATTTTCAGCATTGTGTGTGTCATGTTAGTGTCTTAACTCATGCCACACGTTAGTCATTCATCTGTTGATCTGCTTGTTTGGTTGGTAGGAATGTATGTGTTATGAACTTTCTGGTATACGTTCTTGTGTGGATATATAGTTTCATTTCTTTTGAACATGTGTGGATGGGGTGGAATTGATAACTAGTCATTTGTGTACCTCTTCAAGTAGCTGTCAAGAGAGCAATACCCAAGGGTTCTAGTTTTTCTGTATCCTCACAGATAGTTAATGTCTATATTTTAATCTTGGTGTAAAAGGATGTTTCATTGTGGGTGGTTTCGTGTGTGTTGTAATAAATAAAGTGTGTTGGTCTATATAATTTTATTATTTGCCCTATGATTATCATGGCAGTATTATTTAACCATCCATCACAATAATAAGACATAGACACCTGTTATATTTATAATTGCCTGGGGCTGGGCAGATAGTTCACCTACACTGTTTGAATAGCCTCACTATTGTGCCTATCCAGTGCCACCCACGTTAATCCTCATCTGGTCTACCTTCCCTGCAGAATTCCTGGTGCTTGTTTTTATTCTTCATCTGGGCCTTTCCTCACCTTTCTTTTGTTGGGCTCATGCGGTTTCTTCTCCCCGGTAGCTCATGGTAGGGTCCTCTTTACTCCTCTCTTCCCATCTGTCTGATCCTCATGTCTCTTGAACCAAAAAGCCCGGGAACCCTAGCTATACCTACCCCATTCTGCCCTGGTCAGGTATAGGCTGTTTAATCAACCAATCAGGTATGTCTTAGGCAGGCTTACAAAACAAGGATAGCTGTAACCAGATCTTGAGGGCCAGTATTAGAACAACCCCCAACACATGTGTTTATTGACTATCTGCTATCTCAGAAGAAAGAGCTTGGGCTGGAGAGATGGCTCAGCTGTTAAAGGCTAGGCTCACAACCAAAAATATAAGAACGAGCTCTCCAAGTTTTTTGTTCATTTTTCAGAGCAAACACTTTCAATGTTGAATTGTGATATTGTGTTTTTTTTATAAATTGTGACTACTAAACCTTTATCAAATAAATTATTTGCAAGTATATTCTCATATCCTGTGGATTGTCTTTTTACTTTAAAAAAAATGTCATTGGAAGAACGAAAGATTTTGTTTTTTGAGACAGGATTTCTTTGTGTAGCCCTGTCTGCCCTAGATCTCACTCTGTAGGCCAGGCTGGCTGTAGACTCAGATCTGATTGCCTCTGAATGCTGGTGTTAAAGGCATGCACTACTACCATTGTCCAGCAGAATAAAAAAATTTAATATTTACAGAGTTTACCTTTTATTTTGTTTTGAAGTTAGTTTGAAGTTATTTTAAAATAAGTATTTATCGATAGTATAGGTCTGTGGCAGGCTTTATCACTATACAAAATAACTGGAGTTTCTGTGTCTGATGGCCAGAGCCCAAAGAAAAGAGTCAGTATTGTATTTGAGTTTCGGCTCCTCATGTGTTCGTTTCCTCTAACCTTATGTTTGACTCTATGAGTTACACAGAATGCTATTTGTGTGTGGTTGCTCTGTTTATATTAGTTTATGTTGTGTGTGTTAGTCCCCACCCCTGAGAAGAGACAGGGTCTTGCTGTGTATTTCTGGCAGGTCTTGGGTATCCTAATTTCCAAAGTACTGGGATTGTGACAGTTTACATGCCTGCCAATGTTTTCCAATCTTGAAAGAAAATGGGTCCATACAAGTTATATCTTTGTTTACTCTTGAGAATGTTCTTGGACTTGGCATGTGGCCTGGGTGGCCAAAGCTGTCTTAGGGCTCACAAACAACACAGGCTAATAGAAAAGCTGAAATGCTGGGAAGACCGTCTGCGGCAAGATGACATCAGAGGATGTGAGCCATATAGCTGAGAACAGTCTCTGCCTCATGACCTTAATGACCACCATGACCTTCTCCTCAAAGGCCAGGGTAATGTTCTGGGCACCAGGCTGATAAAGAGGATGTGGCGATTCCAAGGTGAGGGAATTAGCTGCACACTGCACAGGAAACAGTTTGGAGTTCCCATCCACACACTAAGGCCAGAAGTTCCTCTGAAAGAATATAGCGAAGTCCAGATATGCTCTTTCTTTATTTACATTGTTCATTTTCACCCAGAAGTTATTAGATACTATGGAAAGTAGATATGATTTGTTTTCAGATACAAAAAAATAACAAATACAAACTAACTCTTGAGTAGGACTAAATAATGATTAATTAAAGATCTTAAAATAACTAAGTATCATCAGAAAAACCAAGGAATCCTGTGTTCAAAGGACTCAAGAAGAATAATTAGGAGCCAATAGATAGAGCATAGAGAGTATCTGCAGAGAAGCTTTAAAGATACAGGAGAGTTTTAGAGCTTTCTAGAAGGAGAGTTAATTAAATAAGCAAAAGAACTGTTTAACAGTGAGGAGCATCAGTTAACTTAGAGTGATAAAGTCATCAACCAGTAGGATGGGGAAGATGAAGAGCAGAGACGGCAGTGAGAGACCTGTGAGAGGATCGCCAGCTGTATGCAGTTACATGAGGATGAGCAATGAGACGCTGGGAAGTTCACGCAGAACCCATAGGAAAGAATCCATACTTAGCCACTTACGTGTTCGGGCTGCTTAGTTGCTGCAAATGAGGAGAAAATCTTGAGAGCAGTGATAGAAAAGGGCTTATCGGGGACAGCGTTAGCTCAGTAAGGAACTGCTACTCAGTGAGCTGCGAGCAAAGTTATCCAGTGCAAATTCTGCGGCCGTCGTAGTTTGAGTTAACTAAAGACGCGTTCGGCTAGAGAAACACCGGGTTTTCTGTCGTCTCACCACAATCATGAGTAATTTGAAAAGAAATCCATCAGTTTGAGGGGAAGTAGCTCCAGAAATCACAGCAAAGCTATTAACTTTGTAGTTTGCTATCCTTTTTCTAGTTATGAAAAGGCTGTATTCTTTTTCCTTCCTGTAAAAACATCGATCCATAATACTGTACTGTTGACTACATAGCATGTACATGGGAACCTTTACCAAACTGTGCTGTTTCTTTTTGAGTAAGTTTGGGTTTTGTTAATGGAATTGTCGAAGATCTTTA